TTTGTCACCACTCCATTGTTGGACTCTGTTTGGGCACTCTGCCCGAGGATGATTAATGATGTTTTGAGTTGTGGCTCTGAGGTGCTTGCAGGCATACTGCAGGTACCAGAGGTAAAAGAGGTGTTGTTATCATCAAGGTACTTCAGTGTTATATCAAGTGTAATCAGAAGTGAATTAATTAAAGCAGTGTGTACATGTAAGTCCTTTTATGGTGGATGTTCAAACAACTCATATCGTGCAGTTTAGAGCTCAGTGTTTCAGACTTTTGTAACCCTCTCCTCTCCATGAGAAGGCAGAGGCTGCTATCAGAGGACAAACCTCTCCTGCAAAGGTCTTTTTGTCAAACGTGGCCCTTAAAATAAGTTAGGAAATTGTGTGCATTTGTCCATACTTGCTCTGGTATTTCTCAAGGTTAGTTTTTACAGCTCACATAACTAGTGTAGGATGGGATCTAATGGTTGCTTGGGTTTCATCTGACCTTGGAGTGAGCAAAAATCTGGAGAAAAATCATATTTATTGTTGGTCTCAGCTCTACCAGGATTAAACTTGTTTTTGCAGAACGACATACCCTTGACGTGGTTGTCACTTAGAAAAATTGCCTGGAAATGCATCTGGCTCTCCTGTCCAGCAGCTCAGGCACTGTGAGGCTGGTGATACTCCATACCACAGAGAGGAGACACAAATTTGGATGGAGGAGGGGCTGACAGGATTGCAAGGTGACCAGAGATGCCGATCCTGAGCTGTAGCTTCAGTCTGATAAGCAGAGCCAAAATTCTTCTATTTTCAAGTCCAAAACTCCAGGTTTTGGTGAACTTGGCAGCAGTGGGGGCTGAGCTGGGGGTGCTGCTGGCCCTGCTGTGGAGGAGACCACATCTGGCAGGGCTGTTCCATGGAACCAGAAGGTGAGGAGCTGAAATTGCAGCTTCAGCTCAGCCTGCTCAGGGTGATGGGTGACCTGGGTGACCCTTGGGTGACAGCAGCTGCCCTGGCCCCACCTGTGTGGAGGAGGCTGGGAAGCTGGGAATTGATGGAAACATAATGGATTAGACCTGGACCCTGCCTGGCACACTGTTTGCCCAGGATAATCTGCTATTTTGATATGTGTGAAGCTTGTGGTTTTGTTTTTCCAGCATGCTGGAAAATGTATCCAACAAGGAGGAGATGAAAATGACCCCAAACACTCAGAGCACCAAGAAAGGAGGCACTCAGAATCTGATCTTTCTGAACTAAACTCGTGGTTTTTCTGAGCTGCAGCTCTGTGATTTGGACAGAGTTGGGAGATGGGTCAAAAGCTGAAAGTGTACCTAAATGTAAAATTTTGATATACTCCAGTATTAGCACTCCATGTGCTGCTCTGGCCTCTCAAGCTACTTTAGTTTACTGCTGGGTAAGGTTGAAAGGTGATTCAGTCATAGTTTACAAGTACCTAAAAAGGGAAGGGGTTTCTGGTTGCTAGATGGGATTCAAATTCACCAGAGAAAGGCAGAGATCTCTTGGCTGGAAGCCAAAGTTAGAGGAGTTCAGACTATGAATAAGAATTGCAGTTTAAACTTTTTATGAGTGAAAACCAGAGGAAAGTCTTTGTCTGGAATTAAGCAGAGTCATCAGCGCTGAATGGCTCTAAATGAAGATTTCTCTGTTTTTCTGAAGGCAGCAGGAATTATGAAGTGAGGCTTTCCAGCCCATCCCAGAGAGCGAGGCCAGGCTTCCCTTTTGCCCAGAGCAAGGTTCTGGATGCTGTTTCCCAGGCTTGGGGCTCTGCCTGCTCTTCCCACGCTGCTGTCCAAGCACAATTCCTGCTGCAGTGCAGCAGAGAGGGCACAGATGTGTCAGGGAGCACAGCTCTGCCTCTTTGTGCTCAGCCCTTTTCCCAGACACAGACCAGAATATTTTGGGACTGGGTTCCCCTTTCACTGCTCTGATTCAGTGGGGGATTGCAGTCCATGGAGCCCATCAAGTGTGGCCTGCAGCTGAATACACTGTCTCCTTCCCTCCTGTAGTGAGACACCAAAAACATGTAGATGGGGTGGAAAGATGTTCTCCTCCCTTTCTCTGGGCAGGACTCTCTGCTGGAGGGGTGGGATGCTGTGTTGTGTGCGTGTCAGCTCTTTGGGTTTTTTGGATCTGCCTGCTTAGGAATGTCCTGCAATCATCACTGGTGACATGTGCAGAGTTTTTAGGTGAGACATGACTCATGTTGGTGCGGAGATCATGGAGAGTTCTTTGCTTGTTCTTGGCCCTCTTCTTCCACAGGCTCCAGGTTCCTGGGGTTTGCTCTGCTCTTGCCAGCATTTTGGTGGAGAGGGGCAGGGCTGACACCCCTTTGTCCCAGCAGTTCCCTGTCAGGACCCAGAACATCCCTCTGGCTGTCCTGACCAGCCCAGACCCTGCCAGGGGGCTCAGAGACCTGGCACAGAGCCCAGGGTTCCCCTGTGGGTTTGATTATGGCCCATGGAGCAAGTTACCAACCTTAGATGAAGATCAGCAAGCCACAACAGTTTAAGCAGAATAATAGTGAAGTTATCACAGGGTGGAAAAGTAGAATGTGGAGTTTTTGCTATGGGGGTTCAGGAGCCAAGATGGAGGGATCTGGATGTTTCCAGCCTTTCTCCTTCTTCTTCTTGGCGTCCATCTTCTGCTGTGATGTTGGCACTTTTAGATGGTTTAGAGTAGAAGCTCACTGTCTAACATAGGTGATAGGTATTGGAAAGTAATTGTAAACATTGTACACATAGTTTTTAGTATAAAGACATAACATTGCCCTGGGGGCAGGCAGAGTGCCTGAAGCTGTCCTGCTGAATGGACCTCGGCAGGGCAGGAGAAAATTTTTTATAGATAAGAAACAATAAATAACTTTGAGACTGAGAACTGAAGAGCTCTGACTCCTTCTTCAAGCACCAGGCTGGGAAAAGAGACTTTGGAACTTTTCTCGGGGTCACTCTGAGCAGCAGAGATCCCGACAGTTTCCAGTTTCTCTTCCACTCAGGGTGATGGTAGCACATAGAGCTATGGAAAGGAGAAGAGAATATTCATTCATGCCCCAGGACTCAGCTGTTGTATCAATTTTAACACCAGCTGAACTTCTTTATATCATACTCCTGGTTCTAGCTTATAAAATATCAGAATTCTTCACACCTGTGGCTTCTCTGAAATGAGACAAGAGTTGTTCCTTTAGTGACTGGTATCTCAGTCCAAATTAACCAATATTATGTCCATGTGCTGTCTGCTTCATAATTCTGCAGACCACCAGGCTGGAAATAAAGTGAAGCAGATGCAGCCATGGCAAGGTCAGGACCTTCCCTGTATTTAAGGTGTATGGATGATGTTGGCAGGGGACAGGGTGACCTCGGGGTACAATAGGAGCTGACTGACACACACATTCAGACAGAATAAATATTTGAGAGTCTATTTCTCTATTCCCCAAGATGACCCCTATAAAAGCAAGGTCCTGTTTACCTTCCTGGCTCTGCATGCAGCATTCTGGGAAGAGACCAGCTCTCTTCTCCTCTCACTGCCTTCCAGCTCTTCTGGGCAACCCATTTCCAGGCAAGGATCAGGGATGTGGGCTTCACAAAACCCATGACACCTTGGATTTTCACAGAATTCACAAAGTTTGGTGAAAGCTGGGATCATTTCTGGTCAGAAGTCCCTGTTTGTGCCAAAGCACAGTGACTGGGAAGCAGGGAGAGATGTCAGTGCACAGCCTGTAACCACTGCCTGCAGCTGACCCAAGGGTTTTGTGCTCTCCCTGTCCCAGTAGAAAATCATAGAATGGTTTGGGTTGAATCAACCTTAAAAAAAGCCTTAAAACTCATCTCATTCCAACCCCCTGCCATGGACAGGGACACCTCCCATGATCCCAGGGTGCTCCAAGCCCTGTCCAGCCTGGCCTGGGACACCTCCAGGGATCCAGGGGCAGCTGCCAGGTGTGATGTGCCTGGGACCAGCCCACGTTACCCACCCCAGCCCTGGGCTGCCTTTCAGGCACTGTGAGCTTTGCTTGGCTCACTCCTGCCACCCTGAACTGCTCCATTTCTATCCATGCTGGGATCCTTTTGATTAAGGACAATTTTGCTTCTCACTCCCATCAGGAATATGAAGTGCTGAGAGCTTCCTACCTCAGGAGCATATTCCTGATGATGGCTGTGCTTTTTATTATTTTGTGAAAGATCCCTTTTGGTGAGAACAGTCTTTAAATACTATCAACCTACACTGACTTAGCTTGGCATGAAGAACTACAGGAGACATACAAAGGTCTGTAGAACAGTGATTGCTCTGATGAAACCCATCCAGTCCCTCAGCCTTTCAGTGCTCTGCCATTTCACAGGATCAGAATGCACAAAGCAATTAGAAGGTGGTTTGTGCATATTAGAAAGAGGAAATTATCTATCAGTAGCACACCTCAGACAAGGAGAAGCCATTGCTACCAATATTCTTAAGGCAAAGCCAGCAAGTTGCTGTTTCCTTTTTTAAGGTTAGCACTGAGAAAGAAAAAGGGAGCTAGAAGAGTGCAGAGCTGTCAGTTGAAAGAAAAATTGCAAGCCTGCTAATCCTTTCTTGTCAGGTTTAATATAAAGCCTGGCAGAGATTGATAAGAAGTGTCTCCCTCTCTGTCTGATGTTCCAGGTGCATGGTAAAAATCACTTCTCTGAAACACCCACATGCAGAGCCAGGCTCCAGGCTGGAGAGGCTGCTGGCCAGCCTGACATTGCTGCCACAAAACCATTTAAAATACCTATTCTTTCACTTTTCTTCTTGCAGCCTGAATAAATGGCTGTTCCTCCTAACTCCTTACACATGCAGGATTTTCCTGCAGCCCCTCTCAGTGGTTATTGCTCTGCTGGTGTTGAGCTGAACAAGGTTTCTGCAGCAGATTTGGAGCATCTGGGGCACAGGGGGCTGCTCCTTGTGACCTGCCTCTGCTCCATCTGCACTAAAACATTCTGCCTGGGGCTGTGGCAGCCACAGAGGTCTGTAGGTGTTGGTGATCTGCAGCAGCAATGGCCAGGAGCAGGGGGAAAATAATCCCTGAAGAGCTTGAGCTGGTGTGTGGTGGGAGAGCTCAGCAAAGCTCTGCAGGGACAGCAGACACAGGGTCCTGCCTGCATGGATAGGGCTGCTGTGGAACATCAAACCTGGTCATGGGGAGCCTCCAGAGCCTCCCTCTGTTCCCTGTGTGGGTGTTTCTGATCCTGCCCCTTCCCTGTGTGCTGTTTTTCTCCATCACCTCGTGGCTGAGGGGGCAGCAGGAGCTTGGCCAGGGGAGGGGTTGGGGGGTTCCTCTTGTGTGTGCACAGCCCTGAGAGGGGCAGGTTTCACACTGTCCCCTTTCTCTTCCCTCAGCTGTTCCTCCCAAACTGAAGAAACTGAAAAGCCCAAATGTTCACGTGGGTGAGAAGATTTCCCTGAAATGTGAGGCGACTGCTGGGAACCCTCAGCCATCCTACAAATGGTTTAAGGATGGGAAGGAGCTGAAGAAGAGCAAAGACATCCGGATCAAGTATGGGAATGGGAAGTAAGTACAACACAGGGCTGCCCTGCTTCTGCTCACTCAGGGTCTGGGGCTGGGGCTGGAGGTGCTGCTGTGCTCCCCAAATCTCTGCTGAGGGCTCCCTCAGAGCCACAGGACCACACTCAGCCCAGTTACTTGAGCCAGGAGAGCGAGCAAAATCCTCAGAGAGCACGGGGAGAGGAGCTTATCATGCACAGGGAAAGTGTTGGGTTTGTAGATGGGCTGTCCTGGGGTCAGGGCTGTGCTGCTGTGCTCTGCAAGTCTCTGCTGAGCAGCACTGAGGGCTCACTCAGAGCCACAGGACCATGCTCAGCTCAGTTACCATGGCCAGGAGAGTGAGCAAGATCCCCAGAGACCTCAGAGGGAATGAGTAGAGAAGCAGGGCACGCACAGGGAAGGGTTTGGGTTTGTAGATGGGCTCTCCTGGGTCAGAGAGGCACTGGAAACCTGAGACAGGTGTCCTGTGACATGGGGAGGCTTTCCCTGGTAGCTGTGGGCAGCTCAGGTTGTCTGGGGTAACTCCCGCTCTGTGATTAAGGGTTGGATGCAGAAGGTACCCAAACCCAGCTCTTGTCCCATCACTCAGCAGCAGGGCTGTGGGAGGAATTGGTTTGTTCCCTCCTGCAATTAGGTGGACACAGATGCCACCTAAGGCCACTGAAAAATCACAGAATGATAAATTAGGGCTGGAAGGGACCTCTGGAGATCATCCAGTTCAACCCCCCTGCCAAAGCATCAGCACCTGGAGCAGGTGGCACAGGAATGTGTCCAGGTGGGGTTGGAATGTCTCCAGAGAAGGAGACTCCACCCTCCCTGGGCAGCTGTTCTGCTACCCTCAGCATAAAGAAGTTATTCCCCATGTTGGGATGGAACTTCTCATGGTTTAGTTTATGGCCATTGCTCCTTGTCCTCTCACTAGGCACCACTGAAAAGAGTCTGGCACCATCCTCTGACACCCTTTGGAGATATTTATGTGCATGAATGAGATCCCCTCTCAGCCTTCTCTCCTCTACACTGAGCAGGGCTGAGGTGCAGGATTACCTCACAACACTGAGCAGGGCTCATGGTCACCTGCAGAGACCTTGTCTTGTGCAAATCCTTCCATCTGCCCGCCCAGGGCAAGTCCCCTCACATCTGCCCTGAAGTCCCCACCCAGCAAAGCTCTCAGGTGGCTCTCAGTGAGTGTCACCCTCAGCACACCCCCATTCAGTGAGTGTCACCCTCAGCACCACCTGTCTTGGTTTAGAAAGACAGGAGTCTGCTAAGGAAGGCAGGAGCCTCCTCTGAAATGGAGAATGTAAACCCTCCCCACCCCTTTGAATTGCTATACATTTTAAATTAAGGGGCTCTCAGGCAAAAATATGGGAGCAGGAAATAACAGTTCTTTAATAGGGAAAGGAAAAAAATAAAAGGATAAAATAAACAATGAAGTGCACTAGAACACCACTGCCAGATTCAGAACCCAGCCTGACACCCTGTGGGTCAGGCTGTTGGCAGCAGTCCCATTGGAATTGTGGCTGCAGCCCTCCTGCAGTGTCAGGGGTGGTTCTGTTGGAGCAGGGATCCTGTAGAAAGGTGCAGTCTCTTCCTCTGAAGATCCAGTGGAAGGAGAGGCAGCTGCTGTTCCTCTGGGGAATCCAGTGGGGAAGCCTTGCTGGTGTTCCAGAATCTCCAGATTGTATCTGGGTAGCAATGCTTGGCTCCTCCCTCTGGGCTCACATCTCCCAATGGGATGCTGTAGTTCTTTTCAGCCATGCAGTGACATTCAATAGCTGTTATCAGCAATGTCCCCTCCCGAGGGAAGAAGCTGTTATCAGCAATGTCCCCTCCCGAGGGAAGAGTGAATTATGGTCACTCAAAGAGAGAGATAAGGCAAACTGCCCACTTGGCAAAGGTAATCTGCCATACAAGTGGTAATGGAAAACATCTTGCATTGCAATTTGGAATATCCCCTCATTCAGTGAGTGTCACCCTCAGCATCCCCTCATTCAGGCAGGGCTAGAACAGCTGGAGGAAGAGGTCCCAGTGACCAAGATCAGGGGTTCTCACAGGGAATGGACTCAAATGAATCCACGTTGATGTTTCTCAAAGCCCAATATTTACATATGATGTATCTTAAAATTATTCCATTTTCATGGCTATGCTTCCATTCACACATCCTGACCTAGCCAGCAACAGTCAGCTTGCAACTGCCTGACCCCTTGGAAAATTTGATTCTAATTCTTTGCTAACATGTTCTGGTTGTGTGAATACAAGGTCATAATGGACTTGTTAGGGTAGCAATTTTTAAAATTAGAAGCCACTAAAAATCACTTGGAAAACTCACCCAGTGTTTGAATGGGGCGTTGCCAATTGCCCAAACTTAATTTCATTCCTGTTTGGTTTTGTTTCAGAGTCACACCCAAGATGGTTGACCTCCTTTGTAATAATCCTGGGATTTGTGGCAGTTTTGGGATGAGGCAGAGAGGTGGTCAGTGCATCCAGGATATCTGGGTGCTGTCTGGGCTTGCAGGCAGCAGAGCCAGGGCAGAGCTGTGCCTGCCTCTCTCTGTCACAGTAATGGGCCCCCAGCTGGGTAATAATTACTATTGATTCCATGATTCTCAGAAGGTTGATCAATCTCTTTATTATATTATCATTATTAAGAAACTTCTTGTTTTTATAGACAGTTTGATACACCTGGACCTAGTTGGTCCTTTAGTCTAAACACCATCACCATTGGCTAATTAAGAAACCACTTTTTGGTAAACAAATCTTTATAACACATTCTACATGATCACAGCAACGGGTGTAGCAAGTGAAGGTAAGATTGTTTTTTATTATTTTTTCTGATTTTCTCACAGACTTTCCCCAGAAAGGCCTGGTAAAGTTGTAAAAAGCCCCAGAGCAGCCAGCACTGCCCTGCTGTGCTCCCAGGTGTCCCAACCCTTCGTCCCATGCCCAGCACAGAGCTGTGACAGGGTGACATCCCACCCCAGCCATGGGGACATGCAGGCCCTGGGCCAGGGACAGGAGCAAATGGAAGGGGCTTTGGTCTCCCTTCCTTAGGACACTGCTGTCAAGCCATAATTTTGCATTTTCCAGTTTCCATGGAAACTTTCTATCTCTCCAGTGAGAGGCCAAAGATGTGTGGTGCTGGAAGGGCTTCCTGCTGGCAAAATAAGGCCAAGGATAAGCATTTTAAGGAAAGCTGAGCACCTGCCTCCTCCAGTGTCTGAGACTCCCTCAGCAGCAAAGGGGTGAGCCCAAAGCATTCCCAGAATTGCTTCCCATCCCAGTTTCTGCTCCCTGCTGCCATTAAAATGTGCCTGTCTTGTGCTGGGAGCAGGCTGTGGAGACTGGGCTCCAGCAGCTGTTGAGCAGGAACGAAAGGAAATGGCCTCAAGCTGTGCCAAGGAGGGTTTGGATATTAGGAAAACATCTTCACTGAAAATTAGGGAAAACATCTTCACTGAAATGGGGGTCAGGCACTGGAACAGGCTACCCAGGGAAGTGGTGGAAGTGTCCAAAAACTGTGTAGATGTGTCACTTGTGGACACATTGGTGACACATTGGTTCATTGGTGGCCTTGGCAGTGCTGGGAGAATGGCTGGACTGGGTGATCTCAGAGGGCTTTTCCAATGAATGAAATAGTTGTCATTCTGTGGGACAGTTCTGAGGTAATCACCCCTCAGTGAGCATTTGCTCCTTGTTTAGCAGAGCAGGAACACTTCCCTAAGAGCATCTGGGTGGGTATGTGACACCCACCCTGGCATTGCCACCTCTGTCCCTGTTTGCTGGGCCCCAGAGCCGAAAACCCCGAGGCAGAGTGGCCCCTGGCACTGGAGCTGCCTCTCTCTGGTCTTGACTGCATGGAACAAGCACTGAAAACTGCTCAGAGCAGGCTGAGAGAGCCCTCATGACTTTGATGTCTTCATTATGCAGCTGGTGGGGCCGAGTTTAGTGGAGGGACATGTGATATGGGTGTAGAGCATTACTTGCAGCGTGTTGGGAGGGGACTCCAGGGAAGGAGAAGTATCCCAAACTGTAAATCTCTGAAAGGACATCTTATTCTATAACAATTATTTTAGGAATAATGGGATTTATACATCTGGCTCCACTTAGAGATAACGCTGGTCTCCAGATAATCCTCTGGGCTTCGCTTCAGCTCAGAGTGGGGATTTCAGAGAGCCAGAAATGGAGCACTGGGGAGGGACCTTCACAGGGAAAATACACAGGGCACAAACTTCTCAGGCTGTGCAGGATCATTTCAGCTTCCAGGTGCACAGGATCATTTCTTTAGAGGTGTAATACCTAACAGAGATTTCTGCTGGAGCCAGGCAAAAGGAGCCCTCCAGCAAAGTGGTGTCCATTGTGTTCCCCTTGGCCCTGTGAGGCACAGCTGAGATCTGTCCCCAGCACTGAGATCTTTAGCATGCAGAGGAATAGGATGGGAGACAAGAACCTGGTTGCCCTCTGTGATTAATTCCTGGCTTTCCTCCTTGTGTGTGTAAAGAGCCTTGAGGTCTCTACCTAGAAAGTATGACTGAAGCACTTTTTTTTTTGGTGATTGGGTTTTTATCTGATCTCTAGAATAGGAGATCTCTTTCAAAATAAGGGGTGTATATTTTGTAAGGAGGAGAGGAGCACTTAACTGCATGGCAGCTCTTCAGCTTTTCCATCAATCATTTCCCCTCTTCTTTTTAAACTTACCAGCAAAACCTCTGGTGCCATCAGGCAGAGGAGTCAGGTTTTTTAATGGATATTTGCTGGAGGGAGGGGAATAATTCTGATTCCTCCTTTCTGAACTCCATGTTCCATCTGTAATTAGTGACAGGCTGGGGCAAGCCCGGCTTGCACGAAGGGGAAACCTCTTTAAGGTGGAAGAAATTATTGGCTGGAATTTTATCTCCATCTCCATTGAAATAAAACACAGTTGATGGGAAACCCAGAGAAATTACCCAGAAAGAGCCTGTGGTAGTGGAAATCCAGCCTAGTGAATGGCTCTCCCCCCAAGCTGCCAA